CACACACACCATCACAAGATTTGTATTTCACACAACGTTTAAGAAGCAGACACCCAGCAATCCCTTTCACGCGCCCCCTTCTCCTCCTCGCCCTGCTGCTCCCTCCGCGCCTTATGTCTCCATCTATCAGGCACACCAAAACCGTCACCAGCTTGTCTGGTCCCGGCGACCCTGTGTGGGAGAAGAGAGAAAATAACATAAAGCAGAGCAGTTAAAGTGTGTGGGAAAACAATGAAATGGTGAGTAGATGAGTCAACGAACGAATGAATGAGTGGAACGAAGCTCGAATGAACAAATGAATGACTGAATTAATGCTTAAACAATTGATTGAATGAATGAATGAATGAATGAATGAATGAATGATGGCCATTGTCCATGCTTCTGCCAAATTATGTTAAATTATGACTTGTTTCTCGTACATGTTGAGGAGTATTAGTCTTACACTGAGCAATGGCAATATGTGTCCTAATTTGAGTTAGTTGGTAACACTGGTTATGCAGTAGTTGGTATCTCGGAGTGTGTGTGACGGGCATTCCCTCTCATCTCAACCCATGTATCTTTAGCGTCAGTTCTGAACCCTTCCATGGGCTGGCGTCACCCTTTGTCTGGAAGCTACCCTGTTGTATCGATTAGTCGTATTGAACCTATCGTGAGTATAGAGAATTGATTTTCATCGAAGTCTGTGTCTCAATCTGCCCATATTTCAACATTTTCAACATGGTGAGGTTAGGTTGTCTGCATTTTGTTTTTGTTATGTTTTGGAGGCTCCTCGTGCTCAGTGGTGTCTCACTCACCATTCTGCACGTCCCTAAAAGTTGCTCCACACACACTGATGAAGAGGCGGGAAACTGGAGATGCCGGCTCCGTCCACCAGGGTGCGCGCTGTGCACTTGCTGATGGCGGGTGTTGTTGTAGCAGCGGTGGCGGCGGTGGCGGTGGTAGGAGAGGTGGAGGGAGAGGGAGGGGGGGGGGAGCTCGGCGGGGCGCGGGGCGCGCGGCAGTCGCGCTCTGGCGTGCACGCTGTGAGGACGCAGTCGAGTCCTGCCCGTGCGGCTCCGCTCGCCCTCGCGCTCGCCCTGCGCCTCGCTACGTAAACAGTCCGGCCGCGTGTTGCTCTGTGTGTGCGTGTGTGTGTCTGTGTCCGCCCGCCCGCCGGGCACTATGAGGTGAAGTGTGAAGCCCCTGAGGATTACAGTGATTGTGCAGTGAGTGCTATGACACAAGTGCCCTCGTGCTGAGGCCGTCATGTTGGACTCGGAGAGCGTTGGCGGCGGCGGCGGTGGCCCCGCGCAGGGCCCCGCAGCGAACGGCAAGCAGGGCGTGATGGTGGACAACGCGCGCTCCTGGCCCGGACTCAAGGGCAGCAGGAAGCGCCGCGGCTCGGCGTCGTCGACGTCGTCGGCGTCCTGCGGCCGGCCGGGAGCGTCGTCGCTGTCGGCGTCCTGGCTGCTGGGCGCTATGTGCCTCGTCAGCCTGGGCCTCAGCGGCTACTTCGGCTACCGGGAGGCCGTCCTGGAGGGCAGGCTCGGCGACCTGGAGCGCCGCTTCGAGCAGCACTTCGCCCGGCCGGGAGTCTTCGTGGAGCGCCTCAAGCGCGACGTGGAGCAGAGCCTCGCCCGCCGGCTGCCGCGCGCCGCGCCGGCCCGGGAGGGCCGCGAGGGCCGCGAGGGACGAGACAGGATCTACGCGCGCAGCGCCGGCGACTGCACGTGTCCGCCAGGTAGGTACGTGCGTGCTCGCCTCGGGGCACGACTCCGAGGACGCGCGCTCTTGTTGGCCTCGTCCGAGGACGGACTGCTCGTCTTGGGGGGCATCATTTTGAGGCTGCGCGCCCGCGGGGCAGACGTCATCTGCGCGCGCGCGCCCCGCCCCGCCGTGCCCCTGCGCGTCCCCGCGGGGCACAGTCGGGGGACACGAGGGCGTTGCGGAGGGGGGGGGAGGGGAGCCGGCTATTACGCCGGGGACATCACTCTGCCGGTGACAGCCCCTCCACGCACCGCGGCGTTGATGTCACCTGATTGTTGTATCCTGTCGTTGTCCGAATTGTCCATCATTCACTGTTCGACGCCCCCCCCCAGTAATCCCCCCGCTCTCTGTGCTGGCTATAGCACCGTTCCGGCGTGGGCTGTACTCAGCGCCGAGTGCCTCGCTCCGCAGTTCTGCGACACATACACAGCAAAAGGGGGCGGGTGATTAGCATCGTATGGTACAGTACATCAGTTGGACGTCCACTGGATCACGGAAAGGAATTAAAACAGTCGGGAACGTCAGCAGAGCAAACTAGCACGGCTCTGAAGACTCACGGCATTCTGCGTGAAGTCTACGTGCGGGAGCCGGAGGCGACGACACAACTTTTGTGTCGCAATGCATCGCAATAAGATCGCGTCGCGCTTTCGCGTTCAGCCGTTTTGTAAGTCGCGGGCAGGCGACGTTGGGGGTGGGGGCGCTTGGAGGGTGACAAGGCCGTCGCACCCAGGCGCCATCAGCTTGGCCGGCGGCAAGCAAGTTTGCAATGAGCCGGAGATACTCTGCCACGCCACGCCCCGCCGAGCCATTCAGCACCTTGCCAGACTTGTTCGGCCCCAGTTGGGGGCCCACCGCGCCACGCCCCGCCACGCCCCGCCGACAGCCCCCTGCTGTCTTGGCTGGTGCTGGTGCGGGCCACGCCCTGGGCGCGAGGAGGAGGCCTCTGCCACGCCACGCCCCGCCGAGCCATTCAGCACCTTGCCAGACTTGTTCGGCCACCACGCGCGCTACGCCACGCCACTTCCCGCCACGCCCCGCCACGATACGCGA